GAGTGGCAAGCTGACAACTTCTTGTTCTTATTTAACTAAGTGCAAACAGCACCATACTGGGTCTCTAAAGATATAATATCCTAGGTAAAAGAACTATGAAAAAAAGTTAGTTAACAATGAAGCAAGAAAAGGACCTTGCCCTGGGCCTCAAGGACTGGAATTTGGGACGCAGCAAGGAAACAGACTTGAACCCAGCAGAACATCTCTGGGTGTGAAGTAGTCTACTGCTCATGACAGAAGTCAGAAAAGAAAGGATTAAATACAATTTTAAAATATTGAACCCAGTTCTTCAAGAAAACGGTCAAAGAGAGCTGTCATTTGCCCCAGACCACAAAAGCTAGTCAATGTAAAGTGTAGTAGAATCTTTTTTACTACCGAAATCAACTTGACAACAAAAAGTTTAGTTTGAGTTCAGAAACTAGTCAACAGTCTGTTTCCAAGCAGTCATCTTAAAATTCACCATCTTTTCCCTACAAAAGTAAACATGACATTTTAGAAGATATAATACAAAATATACACATTTACAGAAACAAAGTATCAAGGAATAGTCTTCATTTGTATAAAATGTCAAAGGACAATCCTCTCTCTCATTGCTTCCAGTTGAACCAATCCATAGTTGACCCTCCAGCAGGTTGTGAGGAAGCTATAGATTTCACAGGAACAAACTGCCCATCTTTCTCCCACAGATTCCCCTGGTCAATCTGCACCAATGAGATCAGCACAACCTTTGAGTTAAGCAATAACTTCAAATAACTGAGTTACAAAGTGCGTTCGTTCCTTAGGGAGCTCTGATGGCCTAGTGGCAGGAAGCTGCACTGCAATCCCTGAGAAGCACAGTTCAAATCCACCAAATGCTCTGCTGGAGAAGGAGGGACAATCTCCTCCTGTACCAGTCAGATCCAATTTGACGGTACACACACACAAAAAAAAAATAATAATTTTTTTAAAAAGTGCATTTCTTTTAGGAAGAATAAAAAAGGTATACATATTTTTCACAAATTAATGGGTAAAAATGTTGCTGGCTTTTTCCTAATCAACAATTATTAAATGTCAAAAGGGGAAATAACAATACAAACATTTTTATTACTAACTCAGTGGAGACTCTTAGTTAATATGTTCAATGCAATTTCACGAAAAATGCCAACTTGGGAAAGGAGACAAGTAAAGAGTTGCACTGGCAACCCAAAGTCATGCGGTTCAAATCACCAGCTGCTTGCTTGAAGAAAGATGGGCAGTCTCCTCTCATGTGATTTACAGCCTCTGAAAATCTGCTGGAGGGATAACTAAGAATAGGCTCCAATGCAGAGACAATGAGTAAGTGAGTGAATGTTGTTGTTAGGTGCCATTCAGTACAACTCATAGTGACCCTGCAAACAACAGCTCTGAATCTTGTCCTATCCTGTGCCATCCTCATCATATCTGAGAATCACTGTTAACTGACTTGTGCTCATTGCTGCAGTCACTGTGTCAAACCATCTCCTCGAGGTCTTCCCCACCGGCTGTGAGTGAATAGTAATTCCTGACTTACTATTCCTCAATTCTTTGAGGGAGAAATAAGAAGTAGAACTGGCTTTACTATGTTTTGAAATTTATAAAGCGATAAAGTGAAAGCAGTGGTGAGTCAAAGAATTCTCACCTTCCATTCCATATTTTATTCACAAAAAAGACCCTGCACATCACTGTTGTTACATTGGAACTACCCCATACCTGATCTTCAGTGGGTTTCAGAGACTATAAATCGCATGAAAGGACAATGTCCATCCTTCTCTCTTGGAGCAGCTAGTGGATGTGACCTGCCTGCATTTGGGTGCAAAAACTCTTTACTTACTAGGCCATCAGAGTTCTCTAAGTTTGCTTCAGTCAATGCAAATCAAGTACAACCACAACTCATCTATCTGTGGAGACTTACAAGTTGCTATGATACTGAACAGGTTTCATAAGGACTAGGAAGAAAAGCCACATCAGAGTTGAAGCACAGATGGAGATATGCAAACCTATGCGAACAGCCCATTAACAAATTAATGGACAGAGAAACTGTGGTATAGTCACACAATGAAGTACTACACATCACCAAGGAACAACCAACTTGTAAAATACCCTACAATAAGGGAGAGAGGTTGGAGAACATTATGCTGGGTAAAATAACCCAGTCACAAATGGACAAATACTGCATAAAACCATTAGTGTGAAAACAGAAGGGTCACTAGAGGGATTGGGAGAGTAGAAAAAATATGTACATTCAATGACCACTGTAAAGAATCAGGACAAGGGAGGACCAAACTGTGCAGAATTGAAGAAAGAACAGCTACTGCCAATTATCAAGCAGAAACATGGTATATGTAGCTGTTCAGAAGGGAGGGGAAAATAGTAGTTAATTATATAAAACACAACGTATGTGGCAAATGAATGGATTGAGAAATTATGATACATTCACACAATGGAATACTACGCAGGAGCAATGATTTTGTACATTATTACCTAACCTGGGAGAGACTGGAGAGCACTATGCTGAGTGAACTAACTCAGTCCCACACAAGGACAAATATTATGTAAAACCATTATTGCAGAATGACTATGCTGATCCAAGTTGTGGAGGGGGGGTCAGAGGGTAGAAGCACATGGATGAGGATGTGTGGGAGGAGAGAAATCAATCATGGAGTTGTACAATTTGATGAGTAGGGTTTGAGGGAAACTGGAAGAATATGTTCTGGGAAACAATGTATTCTAATTTTGTAAATAAACTAGTATAATAATTTAAAAATACAAAACAAAAAAACACCACAATGTATGAGAATCAGTGTATAAAGCACAATGTATATGAATGAAAAAAGGGTCACGAACAAGAATAATTTATATAAAGCAATTTATATGAATAATTGTATAAAACACAATGTAAATGAATGAAGCACAATGTGTATGAATGATTGTACAAAAACTAACAAATTTTTAAAAATAAAAAGGCTAGGCAACCTACTTCCATATACTCAGCTAAATAAAAACTCTGTGAACCACAACAGTTTGATCTCATTGTGCAGAGTCACGATGAGAGAGGGGCGAACTCAATTATAAAATACAACAACAAAGACTATAAAGCAATTGTACTGTTTGGTGTGGCAGGACACAAAGAGACTGTTCTCAGCAAAGACATTCAACATAAGAAAGTAAATTGCTGGATCAGACCACTGGTATCAAATTTTAGGCAAATCTTTGAACTGTTCTTTGCCTCTTTTGTCATCTGTACATTAAGGAGAATTACACTATCTACTAAAGAGCTTACCATACAGAATAAATGACAACAGTTTTGCTCACTCTTTTCTAACTGTTGAGTCAGAAGTGACTCATAGCTGACCCTCCAGGGATTTTTTACTGCAGTCAGAACCGACCCTCCAAAGAGTTTTCTGAGGCATAAACCACACGAGAGGAGACTGTCCATCCTTCATAGAGTAATTGGTGGATTCAACTGGAAGCATTTGCTTTGACAGCACAATTTCTTACCACTATGCCACTAGAGCTCCTTCCAGTGTGTTTTTGGAGACTGTAAATCACATGGGAGGAGACTGCCCATATTTCTCTCTTAGCACTGCTGCTGGATTTGGACTGCCTGAGAAGTGCTGCAATTGAGTTAGAAGTGCATCTCACTTCGAGCTGTCACCAGAGCTCCCTCAACCATAAGCCAGTACCTGACCTATAGTAAGTGTAGAATAAATGCTAATCAATAAATCAGAAATGACTCAACAGCAACTACCAAATTACATAAGTAAAAAATCAAAGAAATTCCAATAAATGGAATAGGAATAATTTCTTAACCATTTAAATATCATCACTACCTGATGAGTAGTGGACACAGGGTGGACACATGGGCCTGAGAAGGAACTGGACTGCTTTCTCCATACCTAGTCAATCTGTATGCTAAGCATTGAATTCAAGAAGCTAGCTAGTCTAGATGAAGAAGAATGAGGTGGTATCAGGATTGGAGAAGACACAGCAACAATCTGCCATATGCAAATGACACACCTTGCTCCAAAAGACTTTAAAAGACTGAAGCCTAAAATATGGGTTATATCTCAACATTAAGAAAACAAAAATCCTCACCACTGGACCAATAAGCAGCATCATGATAAATGGAAAAAATATTGAAATTGCCAACAACTTTACTTGGATGTACAATCAACACACATGACAGCAGCACTCAAGAAATTAAAAAATACGGGGCACTGGGAAAATGTGCTGTTAAGGACCTCTCCAAAGTCCTAAAGAGTGTCAGTTTAAAGATCAAGTGACACCTGATCAAGCTATAGCCTTTTCAATTACTTGCTATGCATCTGAACATTGGACAATGAATAAGGATGATGGAAAAAGAACTGAAGTTTTTTAATTGTGGTACTGGAGAAGAGTCCTAAATATTCCATGGACTGCCAAAAGAACATACAAGTCTGTCTTAGACAAAGTGTAGCGAGGGTG